TAGATGGAGTTTTGTTCTGTTGCCCAGGTTGAAGTGCAGTGGTGCAATCTTGGCTCACTGAAACCTCTGCCTCCTGGGTTTAAGTGATTCTCCTGCCTCAGCCTCCTGAGTAGCTTGGATTACAGACATCAGTCACCATGCCCAGATAATTTTTGTATTTTTAGTAAAGATGAGGTTTCACCCTGTTGGTCAGGCTGGTCTTGAACCCCTGACTTCAAGTGATCCACCTGCCTCAGCCTCCCAAAGTGCTTGGATTACAGATGTCATCCACCAAGCCTGCTGAAATTCTGGTGTTTTTGCAAGCTGTTAAACTGAGAGCCTCAATTTCTTGCTGACTCTCAGCTAGGGGCCGACCACTCAAAGCTCCTTGACACCTTCCCCTTCCATGGGTAACTCACAATGTGGCCACCTGCTTCATCAACACCATCAAGGAAGAGAAGAATGCTATCTTCCTTGCTAGATTAATTCCTAAATTAGAATCTAATTGCATAGTCCCCACCCACACTCAAGGTGAGGGAACCACACAATAGCATGAATAGCAGGAGGTGGGACTTGAGGCAGGACACCCAAGGGTCTCTCAGTCAAAGGGTAACATGACAGTCACAGATGATCATGTCCCAGATCCACAAATGCTGGAGGAGAGGCAAGGGCAAGTGAAGGAGTCACCGAGGCCAGCTTAGCATTGGTGTTCACATTTCAGATTCCCACCAACACCTGTGATGTTGCCCAGCCACAAGGACACATCCAATAGATAAAGATGCTGTTGCTATGGAGTCCTGGCATAGGCAGACCAGGGCTAGAAGTGATCAAGATAATTTGCAAATATCAAGGCAGTCAACCCTAGACTGAGCCCCATGAGCCAGTAGAATATATGTTTTCCTCACTGCTGCATCCCAGCACCTAGCAGTGCACAGGACTACTTCCTGCCCAGCCAATATCTGCTGGGTGAAATGAATGGATCCATTGATGGCAGCAATCAGGACTGGCTTCCACAGAGGGTCATTTGTGAGGAGGGGGAGAAGGCAGGAGAGGAGGTGTGAGGTAGGTAGCTGGGCATGGGACAGGTAGTATGCAGCACTTACTCCTCTTCCATGCCTGTCTCCTCATCATAAATGGCGAGTAAACGCAGTGCCTCATGCCTGTAATCCCAGCACTTTGGGAGGCTGCGGCAGGTGGATGACCTGAGGAGAGGAATTCAAGATCAACCTGGCCAACATGGTGAAACCCCGTCTCTGCTAAAAATACAAAAATTAGCCAGGTGTCCTGGCATGCACCTGTAATGGAAGCTACTCAGGAGGCTGAGGCACAAGAATCACTCGAACCCAGGAGGCGGAGGTTGCAGTGAGCCGAGATTGTGCCACTACACTCCAGCCTGGGCAACAGAACAAGACACCATCTCAAAAAAAACCAAAAAACAAAAAACAAAAACAAACCAGAAAAAAGGTAAATAAAGAAATGAACTATCCAAGGAACCAGAGAAATCCTCCAACCACATCGTTGACCTGTGCTAGTTTCAAAGGGGATACTATATCCACAGAAAACACAGGTAAACTTCAGTTGCATAGGGCAAGTAGGGAGATGATTTTCCCCCTGGAGCCTGGACTCCCCTTCCAAGCCACAGCCCTTCACCTTTAGGAAGAAAGAAAAGGCTTATCATGTGACGAGAGTCCTTGTCCAAAGAAAGGAAATGCAGTCTCGTTAAAAGCCCAGTGGCAATACTTCCCTAACACAATGAGTGCTGGTGACAATGTCTAATGAAGACTTTTATGACAGGGATGTAATTGTAAAAAAAAAAAAGATTAAAAAATTGGTTTCAATGCTTTGCCATCCAAAAGTTCATTTGTTTCCTCATTCATGCACTAAATAAGCCCCTAATTAATCTTGAATCTCAGAGAAAGGTGACTAGATTGCCATTTTCTCCATGAGGACGCACTTCACATTTTGGGAAGTTTGAAGAGGCTCTTCAGCATTTTCCTTTAATGGTGCTTTATCAGCATTTTAGAGAAGTTTCATTAGGCTGCCTAAGGCTGCTAATTGCATTACCATATTTTTAAGCCTCATGGGTTCCAGTCAGACTCATTGTTCTCCCAATCCTCCCACTATCTACGGGTTTGACACGTCGGAGATCCACCCATTGAGGGGAGAGGGCACCGCTCACACCAGCAGGGACTGTGTTGCTTTCTCTTCTCAAGGAAAATTTAGCCTCAAAAGTCACTGTGACGTCACCACTCCTAGGGAGAAAAAAGAGCTGCGGCTTTCCAGTCAAGAAAAAAAAAAAACAAAAGGACTGTGTGTGTGCATGTGTGTGTTTGTATGCGTGTGTGTGTTTGTGTATAGCTAGACATGAATATAGATGCACAAATGTGTGTTTAGAGAAATAGAAATATAATCTATATGCATAGATAGGAATAGCTGGATATGTGTGTGTGTAGATATGAACATATGTATGTATTACATATATATGAATATATGTGTATATATGGAGATGGATATGAATATGCAAGTAAGAACATATACATATGTGTATATATAAATAGATATGAGTAGATGCATGTATGTGTATAGATGATGTGTGTGTGTATCTGAATATATGCATAGAGGAATATATGTAGATAATGACTAATATGTGTCTCACTAAATGATGATGCTTATATTTTATCTGGATTCTCCCACTCTCTAAAGAAAATTTCAATGAAACACTAATTTCCAAACCTAGGCAGCTGAACACCCTACCAGAAGCTTCACAGACATTGTCTCATTTAATCCTCTCTACAACCTTGTGAAGAGTTAACTACTATTTCTGTCATTTTGCAAAGAGGGAAATGGATTTTCAGATTTCATAAGTCACAGAGCTCACAAGCAGTGGAGTCAAAACTTGAAGCAAGGCCTGGGGAGTCGCCAGCATCCGTGCTTAGTTGGTAATATTCTGCCTGGGAGTCAGGAGTCTGGGAGGTGACAGGCCTGGGTCCACACCGGCTCTATGCCTCCACACAGGCATCTTTACCCCTGTGAGCACCGATCCCTGCCGATGGAGTGATGCTGTCTACCCTGTGGAGGTAAGAAGATGAAATGAGATAAAACGCATAAAGCAGTAACCCTGGCATGTCCTCCAGCTGCTCACACCGGGGCAGCCCTGACTGGGTGCATCTCAAAGACAGTTGAACCCCATAAAACCAGGGCAGGCACCCCACATCCTCAGCAGACACTGGGCAACACACAAATCTGGGTCCTGCCAGCCGGCACAACTCAGAGATGGGATGGGGAAAGTCCCATCTTCTGGCTTGAAAAGACCTACCCACCTACCCAGTTCCCCTCTCCTGAACCTCACCCCTAGAGTCTAAATAAACACTGTATTAAGCCAGGTTCCTTGCTGGGCAGTGACACTTTGGCTCCTCCTGCTCCACTTCTGGTCTCCAGGGTCTTTTTTCTTCTAACAGGAGTGCCTGGGACCAAGAGGCCACTTCTCAAGAAGAGCGCCTCTACATGCCTTCCCTCCTACCTCCTCCCCTCTGCTCCACTCTCCAACTCTGGGGCTCCATGCAAGCACAGCAATGATGGAGCTGGGCTTCGGGGCAGCAGAAAGAGATGACTGAGAGACCCCCTCCAGCTGTGGTCTCCAGTCCTTGAGATTGCCACCTGGTGCACGCCAGCAGCAACTGGGGAGGATTTTAGCCATCGACCGGGCAAAGAGGCTCTGTGTTGATACAAGGACAGCCTCCAGAAATGTGAAGTCCTCTCTGAGCTGGGAATACAGGGCCTCTGGGCCAGCACTGCCCAAGGGCCATCTGAGTCTTTGTTAATCACAAAATAAGGAGACTCCTCTACCCCAAGCTACCAGGCAAGGGCCACCTGGTCTGCCCAAGGAGGAAGGGGACAGCAGATGGCCACAAGAGTTTCCAGGGCAAGACCCAGCTGGTTCCCTCCTGCCTGTGGCCTGCTCGCCAGGAAGCCCAGACCGTGTATGCCATGCCCAACAAGCTGGCTGCTGCCCTTCCACCAGTCATGGGGGGGGGCTCTCTGTGGGGTGTTGGCTACAGGGGGTCTGATGGCTGGAAATCTCTGGCTTCTCTGCTGCCTTCGCAGGATTGGGAGATAAGCAGAGAGGCTTCCAGTTTGTTGGGTAGGACCTATCTCTGCCCCCATGTGTTACTTGGGGAGGATGGCAGCAAACAGGTTCAGGAAGTTGCTTGCACAGGAACCTGGAGACAGAGAGGGGTATCATTTCCAGCTTGAGTTTTGCAGTGAGGCAGATATGGGTCCAAGTGTTGGCTCTGCCACACCCTACATAGGTGGCCTTGAGCAAGTGACACACCCTCTAGAAAACCGTTTCCTCCCTTGCAAAATGGAACTAAGATAGTCACTACTTCTAGGATTGCTAGAGGATTAGATGAGATTCAATGACAATTAAATAAAGATCAAATAGGACCAGTCATTCCTCAAGTATTTCTTGAGCAGCTACCCTGGGAACACAGGTTCCTGGCCCCACAGGGCACATTAGCTGCTGGGGAGACAGATAATACACAAGGAAGCCAACAAGGACAACAGGACTGATTACAGTGAGTGCTGCGGAGAAGGAGGAGGTGTCATCATGAGAACAGCAGGAACTGGCCGGGGGTGAGTGCAGGCCTGGTACTTAGGTCAAGGGCTAAGGAATGAGAGGAGCCAGACAGGTGAGGGTGGGAGACCCAGGCAGAAGGGAGTGTATCAGCTCTGAGTGGGGAAAGGCTTGGTTTGTTGGAAGAACTGAAAGTGGTAGTGGTCAGTGGACTCAGACAGCGGGGAGCAGGGTGAGCCATGCAGGCCCTGGGCTCAGGCTCCATCATTGTGGGGTGGCAGGCCTCAAAGCAAGGGTGCCTGGCCATGACTATGCCTTTTCCTACCGGGAGGGCTTCCCCGAAGAGCTTCCTCTCCTGCCCCAAGGAGGCTTTCCACTGACAAATCTACATATGGAACCCAGGAATGGCGCACACAGAGAAACCCCAAACATACCCAGATACCATCCCGTCCTAGGACCCAGGCTCTAGAGCTTAAACAATGTCACATGCCCTGAAAGCTGTTTTCTCTTCTACTGGGGAATCCTATTTCATTTTGATTTCTCTTTTGACCAATCTCACTAGAAACTCAGGCCAAGAGAAAACACATCATTCAAGACAGCCAGGAACCATTTTCTATTCCAGACCATTCACATTCTCTCTCTCTCTCTTCTTACACACACACACACACACACACACACACACACACACACGCCAGCCATAAGGGCTAGCCAAGGGCTACAGTGAACCCTAAAGATTCACAATAATGGCCAGGCACAGTGGCTCACACCTGTGATCCCTTTGGGAGGCCGAGGTAGGTGGATCACCTGAGGCAGGAGCTTGAGACCAGCCTGGCCAACATGGTGAAATCCCATCTCTACTAAAAGCACAAAAAATGGCTGGGTGTGTTGGTGGGTGCCTGTAATCCCAGCTACTTGAGAGGCTGAGGCAGGAGAATCAGTTGAACCCAGGAGGCAGAGGTTGCAGTGAGCCAAGACCAAACCACAGCACTCCAGCCTGAACGACAAGAGCAAGACTCCATCACACACACAAAAAAAAGATTCACAATAACACAACTATTTCCACACCTGTGCAACATTAACCTACCACAGTCTTTACCACCAGAGTGAGTGTTCTGCCTGCTTCTGGACGAGCAAGACTTGTGTTCTGGTTCTCAGACTTCCCCAGCAGCATGGCCCCCAAACGCCAGTCTCCACTCCCGCCTCAAAAGAAGAAACCAAGACCATCTCGTGCTCAGGGACTGGAGGAGACATCAGCCCCTGCAGGCTTGCCAAAGAAGGGAGAAAAAGAACAGCAAGAAGCAATTGAACACATTAATGAAGTACAAAATGAAATAGGCTTAATGAACAAGCCAGGGAGGAGATTTTGAAAGTAGAACAGAAATATAACAAACTCCACCAATATTTTTTCAGAAGAGGTCAGAATTAATCGCCAAAATCCCAAATCTTTGGGTAACAACATTTGTCAACCATCCACAAGTGTCTGCCCTGCTGGGGGAGGAGGACGAAGAGGCACTGCATTATTTGACCAGGGTTGAAGTGGCAGAATTTGAAGATATTAAATCAGGTTACAGAATAGATTTTTATTCTGATGAAAATCCTTACTTTGAAAATAAAGTTCTCTCCAAAGAATTTCATCTGAATGAGAGTGGTGGTCCATCTTCAAAGTCCACTGAAATCAAATGGAAATCTGGAAAGGATTTGATGAGACGTTCAAGTCAAACGCAGAATAAAGCCAGCAGGAAGAGGCAACATGAGGAACCAGAGAGCTTCTTCACCTGGTTTACTGACCGTTCTGATGCAGGTGCTGATGAATTAGGAGAGGTCATCAAAGATGATATTTGGCCAAACCCATTACAATACTACTTGGTTCCTGATATGGATGATGAAGAAGGAGAAGGAGAAGATGATGATGATGATGAAAAGGAGGAAGGATTAGAAGATACTGATGAAGAAGGGGATGAGGATGAAGGTGACGAAGATGAAGATGTTGATGAAGGTGAGGAAGGAGGATGAAGGAGAAGATGACTAAGAACACTGATGGATTCCAACCTTCCTTTTTTTAAATTTTCTCCAGTCCCTGGGAGCAAGTTGCAGTCTTTTTTTTTTTTTTTCTTCCCTCTTGTGCTCAGTCACCCTGTTTTTGAGGTCTCTTTTCTCTACACCATGGTTCACAATTTATTTTGGGGGAAATATCTTGAGCAGGATACAACGGGAAAAGTCTCTGCCCCTTTCTGTTTGAAATTCATTTTTATCCCTTCCTGTCTGAACAAAAACTATATGGAATCAACACCACCGAGCTCTGTGGGAAAAAAGGAAAACCTGCTCTCTTCACCCAGCTGGAAGCTGGAGGGTGTAGGCCCCTGTGTAGTAGTGCATAGAATTCTAGCTTTTTTCCTCCTTTCTCTCTATATTGGGCTCAGAGAGTACACTGTGTCTCTATGTGAATATGGACAGTTAGCATTTACCAACATGTATCTGTCTACTTTCTCTTGTTTAAAACAAGAAAAAAAAAACTTTAAAAAATGGGGTTATAGAAGGTCAGCAAAGGGTGGGTTTTAGATGTTTGGGTGGGGTAAGTGGGCATTTTGACAACATGGCTTCTCCTTTGGAATGTTTAATTGTGACATTTGACAGACATCCTTGCAGCTTAAGATGACACTTTTAAAATAAATTCTCTCTTAATGATGACTTGAGCCCTGCCACTCAATGGGAGAATCAGCAGAACCTGTAGGATCTTATTTGGAATAGATATTCTTTATTGAAATTTTGTTCCTGTTTATTTTTAAATTTTCTTTTTGTTTCACTGGAAAGGAAAGATGATGCTCAGCTTTAAATGTTAAAAGTGTACAAGTTGCTTTCTTACAATAAAACTAAATGTGTACACAAAGGATTTGATGCTTTTCTCTGAGCATAGGTATGCTTGCTATGACCTTCCAAGATTGACTTGTATAACATCACTGTCACACTTTGTCACCCTAACTTCGTATTTTTTGATACGCACTTTGCAGGATGACCTAGGGCTATGTGGATTGAGTAACGGGATCTGAATCAATGCATTAATATCTCCATAGCTGGGAAACGTGGGTACAATTTGCCATTGATTTCTGAAAGTATTCACATCATTTGGAATACCAGATTGCTCAATACTTTCTGAGTATATTGTGCCCTTAATTTTTATCTCCAAGTCGCAGTTTTTAAAATTGGCCGTTAACCTGGATGTAAAATAATATGCCTGCCACCACCATCCAACAGACCTGGTGCTCTAATGCCAAGTTATACATGGGATAGTTGCTGGCATGTCTTCATTGGCTATGTAAAATGTGGCCAAGGAGATAGGCTCTCCGAGTAAGGGGTCTGTGATGGTTGGCAGTAACTGTCCCTGCTCTCTGGTATAAAGCTCTCAAATATGACTACGTGAATCTGGGTGGGATAATGGACCCAGCTCTGTCTGCTCAATGCCATTGTGCAGAGAAGCACCCTAATGCATAAGCTTTTTAATGCTGTAAAATATAGTAGCTGAAATTAAATGCCACTTTTTCAGAGGTGAATGAACGGACAGTCTGGTGAAATTCAAAAGCTTTTTGATGTATAAAACTTGACAAATGGAACTATTCCATCAATACCTATCTAGATGGATAGTATGTAATTTCTGCACAGGTCTCTGTTTAGTAAATACATCACTGTATGCTGATCAGGAATCTTGCTCCAATAAAGGAACATAAAGATTAAAAAAAAACAAAAAACAAAAAACAAGCTAACACACAAACCAAATAAAACAGTTGTAAAATGCAGGAAATGTGGGTTTTATATGTAAAATGTGCACGTGCACGTGCACACACACACACACACACACACACACACACACATACACATGTATCTGCCTCGGGCAATGAAATTAGCCAAGTGGTGCATATACAATTGTTTCAAACGGATTTATAAACTTGAATTTGTCAATTGACAGATTTGCAAGCTTATGTATCTTTGATAAATTGACTTTTAATGAGGATGACAAGACAATTCAACAGGAAAAGAACACATGAACAAATGATGCTGACACAGCTGGATATCCAAAAACAAGAAAAGCTATGCAGTTAAAAAGGAAGTAGTAGAATTGTCTCCATTCACAATTTTCATAATTTTAAACAGACAACATTACAATGAATACACACACACACA